AACAGGAGGCTCCAGTAGAGGACGCCTGTCGGCGACGGCACTCCGGCAGTCTGCGGCAGCGGGGAAGGAGGCTCTAGGGCACGGCGGTTATAGAGAACGTGGAGGTGGCTCAGTGGGAGTGGTGACCGGCTCGGGAAAGGATGAGGCGGCAAGAACCAGCGGGGTCACGGAGCTTCAGGCGGCGGCCATGGCAGCGTGAAGCTGAGAAGGAAAAGAAGAAGACGGCGGCCGGCGCTAGGACTTAAAAGGGGCGAGGATGAGCACTCCAACATCGCCAGCTCTCGCATGGGCTTGGACACACACGCAACCGCGCGTTCCCGCGCGAGAAGGACCTCGAAGTGCTACGGTGGCTGCCGGTGAACAGGGCAAGCTAACAGCTGCCGAGGTACTGTAGCAGTCTGACAGTCGATATTCTTCTCTCATTTTCTCCTGATTTCATGTAGAAACATGTCAAGCTCCAATAACCAAAGCTGCTAATCCCTCTCTGATCTTCATCTTTGCTTTAAGAACCAATATCAAAAGATCAATAGATTCAGAGATTTTGAATTCTGAAGAAGGATACTTGAAACTGAAAACTGAATTCAATTTCAAGATTTTGAAAAACAACTTTGATTAACTATGTTTAGGTAATTAATTAGTGGTCAAACCACTCTCAAACATCACAACCAAAGGCACATTATCATAGTACAAACTTCATACCAATTCATAGGATCAAATTTGCACTAATTTTATATATAAAAATTGATTTAATAATTCACCAAAATCTAAATTCCATAACTGGTATTCAGGGACAAGTCAAAATGGCTTAAGTTTGAAAATCAGCGTCGAATACAAATTTTGAGCTCATATTTAAACATGTTTGACTTGGAAACACAAACAAACTTTGATTCTATATTAAAGAACATACTTTGTACTCCAAAATTTATATTGACAAATTTTTATTTGTTTAAGGAAATTACAATCCATTAAAATCACAAAGTATCTTCATCAATATTATTGTCAACATTTCATGCACACACATAACTAAGATATGAAAGCTATACTTGAAACATGAAATGTATTTATGCCACAATGATTAATGATTATGCTTGATGGTGATCATGGTCAAGGTTTTATTAACTCAATTGGAAAGGACATGATTAACACTAACCATGCATATTTTGAAAAAATAAACATGCAAAAAAGTTTAGGTTAGGGCTCATGTTAGAAGAGTAAAACTCCACACCTTGCCACCACTTGATATATCTTGTTTAAGTCTAGTCTCACTGCTTAGCCGGTACTAATACCTAGGGTGTTACAACCCTCCCCCTTAACAGAATCTCATCCCGAGATTCAGGGCAAAAGACTTTGCAAGGGAAGAGAAGCATGTCAGCCTTTTCCAACATCTGATATAACACTTGGCTCCTTCCAACTTCACAAAAATGCTGTAAGTTGTTGCTTTGTTGATTCCGGATAAAATGTGGGTGTCAGTAGCACACAAGGAATTATTAGGAACATGATAACTTTCTGATCTTTCACATCCTTTTGTAGCTAACTCTGTCTAGGGAATTTCCTTTATCGACTTCCACAAGGTATTGTTACTTTGGGAGGATCCAAGATAACATTGTTACTTTGGGAGGAATTCAAGATAGCATTCTCTAAAGTACCTTGCCTTAGGTATAATGAAAAGAAATCAATTTCAAGTAAAGGCTAGCAGCTTCAGAACATCTATTTTTGAAGGTTCTTCTGTACTTCATCTAATAGGAGTTTGGGGAACCTTGTAATTCTTGTGGGTCAGTACTTTAATTCTCTTGGAATAGATAACTTACACTTTGCACAAAGAATGAAATCCCATCACTCAAAGCAGTAATAATAAATCTTAAAAAAAGCAGTAATAATAAGCTGCACAGCTAAACTGAAATATGGACTATTAGGGCTTGTTTGGATGATGCGGTTTTTGAAAACTGTAGTATCACAAAACTATGATTTTATAAGAAAAACAAAATAAAACCATGGTTTAGAAAAAAGAGGTCATGAGTGAAGTTTTTAAAATTCCAAAAGACTATAGTTTTGAAAAAACCCATAGTTTTAGAGACTAAAAGATCTGTTGCATCCAAACACCTAGTAGCTTTTAAAAACCAAAGCATTTTGTAAAACCATAATATTTCTTCAATACTTCAAAAATACTTTCCATCAAACAGGACCTTAGCCTCGTGCTCATTTCACTTGAAAAAAGACTAGCGAGCCTAAAAAAAGACTAGCGAGTCGACTTTGTACATGCACAAATCCCGCCGCGGATGAATTGTAGTCAATCAGTCAATTCTGAACATTAATTGTGTCCTAAAATCGAACAGAAGAAGTACCGTAACCCAACCCACGATGACCCATCCACGGTCCATGGCACATGGCTTTGAGCGTGAAACCTCCTAGGAAAATGTTCATATTATCGCCTTTAACTTTTGCGCCTCAATGAACTCTAAAACCGGATAAAATATCTCTCTGAACTTTTAAAACCATTCGTTTTACCTCCTTTGACCGGTTATAAACTGTTTTTGAAGGTGGTTTAGTCTGTCTTTTTTTATTTATTTTGGCTGAATCTTTGAAAAAGCATAGTAAATCATAGAAAAATAATAAAATAAAAAATCTAAATTTGTTAGACTCCACATGAGTAGATCTACACAGTGAACATATAATATGGTATGCTTTAGCACAATTTTTTTACTATAGCTTTAGATCTATACTTTTATGTAATTAATTCATAGCTGCAGTTTCTATGGTCCAATTGTGATGAAAATTTTATGATGGGCTAATTATTGTATGCTTAAACTTTAGTAAAAATTTAATACTCATTGGATTATGTGTAACTTAGTTATAGATTTATAAATACTTTTTAACAAGCATACACCTAAATAAATCTATAACTAAGTTATATATGATCCAATGAGTCTGAAATTTTTAATATAGTTCAAGCATATAATAATTAGCTTACCATATAAATTTTACCACAATTGGAGCATAGAAACTGCAGCTATAAAATAATTATAGAAAAACATAGATCTAAAGCTATGACAAAAAAATTGTACCAAAGGATACCATATTATATGTTCACTGTGTAGATCTACTCATTTGGAGTCTAATAAAATTAGATTTTCTATTTTATGATTTACTATGATTTTTGAAAAATTTAGTCGAAATAAAAAAAAAGAAAAAGACAAAACTACCTTTAAAAACCGCTTATAACCGGCCGCGGAGGTAAAACGAACGGTTTTAAAAGTCCAGGAGATGGTTAGTCCGGAAAGGAAAATTAACGTAGACTTTTCCAACCTCCTCCCCCCTGTTGGTTGCTGGCTCGCTGCGTGGTAAAGACTGAAGAGTGGTCCATGGGCTGCCCTCGTGCAAGGCCGAAAAGGCCCACTGCAAGCTTCATCCGTGAACAGCTGGAACGCAAGTTTTAGTACCGTACTGCGAAAAAGGAGAGCATCAGAAGGGGAGCATACAAAACATGAGGTAGGGATACTTTGATCCATACTTGGACGGAGTCTATGGCTGATCAAGAAGGGTCATGGCCTAAGCCAGTGGCCTCCATTACACTTGGGAGGAGCACTAGCTTACCATCTCCTCAAGGAGAGTAGACGTCGTAATTTGTGGCAGAGAGGGTACGCGTTCGCGCAGCCCCTACCAAACTAATTCTAAATTATTATTATTATTATTATTTATTATTATTATTTTTATTTTATCATTATCACATATAGTTTATAATAACATAATAATATAAATTTTCAAGTTTAATTAAATAAAAATACAATAAGTATTTTTTTTGCTTTGAGTCCAAGTTCTACATTTATATTTTTATAATTTCTGGTTTGTTTTTTTTTTTGAGAAAAATAATAACTTACTGGCTTGTTAATAATTTCAAAACATGAGGCAGGGTAATCTCATTCCTAATTCCTAATGCGTAGCCTCTCTCTCTCTTTTTTTTTTTTTGAGAAATCACCACACTCTTTATTGATGCACTTGGTCAACAGAATTACAAATGCCAAAAAGCGGTTCTAAAAACCACACATGCCTGCCTGTATCAAAAGAAATCAAACTCCTAACTAGAGTGTGAACATCAACATTTGAATTCCTATTCTCATGGATAAAATCAACTAAAAGAAAATCGTGAGCCATTGCGTAGCCTGGGAAGTGATGCCGTCCAGGCCGGCAAATGTCCAAGCCTGTCAAAAAGCAAAACCGTCCTCAGCTATTCAGCCCGTCAGCCTGGCGTGCCGAAGAGCATTTTCAATACGTTTTCACATGGTTTTGCAGTTGAATGGTCTGATATTCTTTATTGTTTCAGTAGGAAATCCAAAGAAGCATCTTCTTTCAAGCAAAGTGAAATTTATAAGCTAGTATATGAAAAGGCATCATCATGTAGAGAAGCTTCAATATGTCAATTTCCGATTTATTATTACTCCTTCCTAGAAGAAATGTTAGAACATTGGCATTCTCGATGGATTCACTTGTCCATACAAGGATCCTACCATCAATCAATACACTGAGGACTCGTTCGCTTCGCTAAAAAAACAAGCCGAAACACTACTCCGGCTGATTTGTTGTGAGAGAAAAATACTATTCCGGCTGAAAAAACAAGCTGAAAAAGACGGACTATAAGAGAAGCGAACAGGGCCTGAATGATGAAGTGAATAGACAGACAATTGCAACTTATACCACTTGATCATAGTAATAATGAAAATAGAGCAAGAGCTTTATGTTCTTGTAAAAGAAATAATCTGCTCCAAAATTACCAATTTTAGCTTTTTTTTAGCAAATTTTAGCTAGCTTTGCTAGGGCAAAACATGGATCCCGATTCACGGATGGACGGCCAGAAACATGCCGGCCCGGTCCGGCCCGCTCGGCGCTCGCCCTTCTCCCCAGTCCCGCCCATCCAAGCGTTCTGCACACACTGCGGCTGTGGATACGCGCGCCGCCACTCCAAGGTCCAAGCCTCCCTTGCTCTGCTCCCGCCACCGCCCCTCACCATGGGCAGCGCCGCCACCGCCTCGCCGCCGCCACCGCCGTCCGGGAATCTGACGCAGGACGAGCTGAAGCGCGTGGCGGCGCACCGCGCGGTGGAGTTCGTGGAGCCCGGCATGACGCTGGGCCTGGGCACGGGCTCCACGGCGGGCCACGCGCTGGACCGCCTGGGCGACCTCCTCCGCGCGGGCGCGCTGCCGGGGGTCGCCGGCGTGCCCACCTCCCTCAAGACGGAGGCCCACGCCGCCCGCGTCGGGATCCCGCTGCTCCCGCTCGAGGACGCCGCCTCGGCCTCGGGCGCCGGCGGCATCCGCCTCTCCATCGACGGCGCCGACGAGGTCGACCCGGACCTCAACCTCGTCAAGGGCCGCGGCGGGTCGCTGCTCCGGGAGAAGATGGTCGAGGGCGCCGGCGACCGGTTCGTCGTCATCGTCGACGAGTCCAAGCTCGTGCCCAGGCTCGGCTGCACGGGCGCCGTCCCCATCGAGGTCATCCCCTTCGGCGCGCCCCACACGCTGGGCCTCATCCGCAAGGTGTTCGACGGAGTGCTCGGCTTCCACGCCAGGCTCAGGACGGTCCCCGCCCCAAGGGGATGGCTTGGACGCGCCGTTCCTCACCGACAACGGCAACTACATCGTGGAGATGTTCTTCGAGGACGGTATCCGCGGCGACCTGAGGGACATCAGCGACCGCCTGCTCCGGATCACTGGCGTCGTCGAGCACGGCATGTTTCTTGGCATGGCCACTACCGTCATCGTCGCTAACAAGGACGGCACCGTCACAGTCATCAACAAGAAGTAATAATCTACAAGTAGCCTGTATGTGTGCGTATCGTGTCCAACTGTCCGTGTGTGTTCCAGCTACCCTATGTGTTTGCTCATTACCGTGGTGTAACCATGATCTTGTTTTATCATCTCGTATCTTTCCTACTGGTGATTCCAATATATCTTATTTATCGTCCTTCCAATATTATCACACGTTGCTTCTGGACTTCTGATTCTCATACTACTACCTCCGGTCAATTTAGAATTGAAGATTGACGTTTCAGACAATAATAGTGACTTGCTTCTAGCTTATTATATAGCTGTCTGAAATGTCAGCTTTTGCTGATCGGAGGAGTATTAATTAAACCTTCTTTTGCAATTGTATATTCTAATAGGTGGAGCTGTTTTATGCTAGATTGCTAGTGAATCACCGGATTGCAATTTTTGCTGATTGAAAAAGTATTAGTCTTACTTCCTGAGTACTTTTTTTTGCCATAAGCTGCCCTGTTTCTGTAGGTTCAGTTTCTTTCACACAGCTGTCCAATTGTCATATATTGAAATCTGTTACTTCTCAGTTCAGTGCGTGCTAATCAATTTGTCCTTACCGTGTGTAAGCCATTAAATGATTTGAAGTTTTCCTGGTCCATTATGTATCTAATAGCCCAGCGGCATTTGGGTGAGTTATCCACTATTCCATCACCAAAGCACACATTCCTAATGTTCTGTGCATAAATCTTCTATTAATTTCTTTCAGTATACCATATGGATCTGATATTCCCTTTGAATTTGAATGTGGTACACAAATTGAAATTTTATTATTTTGTCTGACAGACAATCAGAATTCATGTTTGATTCCATTCCTGCATATTTATTGGAAAAATTTGAAGTTATTAGCTAACCCATTCTGCTTGCAGAAACTCATTTGAGGTTTACTTTTGTTTGTGTGATGACATTAGGAGTTAACTGCTGGTCCATAGATTTGGAAGGACAGAATGCTGAGCACAGTACAATTTGCTCCTGGGCCTTGATGCAAAGATGGCTGAAGCACCTTTCAGGCTTCTGGCAGTTATGGAACTGCGAAGTGCTCATGTGGTATTTCTTTTGTCCTCAAAGCAGATGTGGACCCTGTGCTCGCACTATTTTGCCTGTTTATTTCAGTGCCAGGGGTGAACTTGCAAAGTGCCAGGTATTCTCACCAGTTAATTTCATTGACAGTAAGCAACTCGTAAACACTTGAAGGGTACCATTGATACACATATATATACTTGCTTATGGGAATGTGCTATGAAATTGCAGCAAAAGTTAGCACAGATACTGTCCCACATTACCAAGATTGCTGAAGAGTTCAATGTTGCTGATCCAAGATTGTTTATTGATTAATGAGTTTCACTGATCTGGGTGGTCGTATGTTCATAGGCAATAGCTGATCCCAAGAAACCAGCAGGTGGCCGTGTGCCCGCGTATTGGCGCATGCTGCCACCTCATGCAGTCATGCTGAAGAAAGACAAGGGCGAACAGAATGTTTGCAAGATCTTTGATGCCCCTAGTCTTCACGAGGGAGAAGCTATATCCTTTTGCTCTGATGATCCATGTTAATTGCTTGGGGTAGTCCGTTCCTTAATTTCACAACTTGCTAAAATCTAGCTAAATTACCTTGCTTAGACTGGCAATCACAAACTCATGTGATATTGAACCTTACCTGATAAGTGATAGCTGCCTTGTCTGAAAGCTTAGATGATATGTATAGCAATCTGATGCGTAGGAGTTATTTCCCTTCCCAATAGCACGTTTTTCAGGTCATATCAGGTAGAACAATATATGCAGAAGGCTGATTATCTGCTAAGAGGGCTTCTGTCCTAAGATTGTTCCTGTTTTTTTGGTTGATACATCGGTACACCATCCTTAGCATCATTGTTATTTAGATACTACTTGCAAAGACAAGAACTAGATACATCGTGAGATCAACATTATATGCAAGGATCTAGTACCACTTGTAAAAACAAAGCAAGGCATATCTAACTACCACCTATGCATGCTAGTTTATCATTTCATCATTCAAACCTACAACTAACATACACCACACAAGCATGTATATTGAATTTAAACTTTTCAAATGCAATCAAGCATATGTGAATGCACATTCAAATGCATCAATCAAGTTTATGAGCTTGCTCCCTCTACTTATGTGCTCAAATTTTAATTGATCCCCTTACTTTTATATTTCTCCTTCTATGTCAAAGTTCCCCCCTTTTGTCATCTTTTCACTATCTTTGTGCGTTACTTCTCCCCTTTGTCATCAATGACCACAAAGGTTCAATTTTAGATAGGTTAAGATTACCAATGTCAATCAATGGGGTGATGATTATTTTTCCAAATTTGGTCCAATCTAGAACACTTGCCTAAGATATTTAACTCGGTTTGATCCAATGACAAGCTTCTTCACTCCTCATTTCAAGGGTTATCTTGATCATGTTGAGTTAAACACTTATAGCTCATTTTCTAGATTAAACACTAGGTTCACAAGCCGACAAACATGTTATATGCTACCACTAGATCAAGTCAAAGCATAGAAGCAATAGTGGTACCATACAAGCATCAAATTCATTTGATTTTCATGAATGAGCCTATTAAATGTGAGGAATGACTAGATGCACTAAACATGTCCTTAGCAAAGGATGTATGACATGCCAAACAATTTTACCTTGAATTACTCGAAGAAGAGGCATGTCATATAAGTGGGGGTGCATCAAAACATATTTAAGAAATCCAATATGTTGAACTCATTTCTTAGATTGCAAAATCTCTTCTCATCAAGTGGCTTGGTGAATATGTCAGTAAGTTGATCTTTGGTGCCCACACCCTCAATGCAAATGTCCCCTTTTTGTTGATCTCTAATAAAATGGTGACGGACATCAATGTGCTTTGTTCTTGCATGTTGAACCGAATTGTTGGTTAACTTGATTGCACTCTTATTGTCACATAGCAATGGCACTTTCTTAAACTTGATTCCAAAGTCATTTAAGGTGGCCTTCATCCAAAGTATTTGTACACAACATCTATCGGCGGATATGTATTCGGCTTCGGCGGTTGATAATGCAACACTATTTTATTTCTTTGATGACCATGAAACAAGTGATCTTTCCAACAATTGATAAGTGCCCGAAGTGCTCTTCCTTTCAACCTTGCATCCCACATAGTCAGAGTCCGAATATTCAACAAGCTCAAACTTTGTTCCTTTGGAATACCACAAACCAACATTTTATGTATGGTTCAAGTATCTCAATATTCTCTTTATTGCTTTCAAATGACTCTCTTGGTGAGGCTTAAAATCTTACACACATGCACACACTAAACATGACATCCGGTCTTGATGCAGTCACATAGAGTAGGCTTTCATTCATAGAGCGATATAACTTTTGATCCACCATGTTGCCACTTGCATCACTATCCAAATTACCATTTGTTTCCATGGGTGTACTAATTGACTTGGCATCATTCATTCAAAACATTTTGAGCATATCTTTAATGTACTTGCCTTGACTCACAAATGTACCATTCTCCAATTGCTTGATTTAAAGACCAAGGAAGTAACTTAACTCTCCAATCATAGATATCTTAAACTCTTTAGCCATTATCTTTTCAAACTCTTCACAAAAATCTTAATTGGTTGATCCAAATATGATATCATCTACGTAGATTTGCAACACAAACAAGTCATTGCTAATCTTTTTGGTGAAAAGAGTGGTGTTAACCTTGCCCATTATGAACCCTTTAGAGTAGAAAATCCATCAACCTCTTATACCATGCTCTAGGTGCTTGCTTCAAGCCATACAATGCCTTCTTCAACTTATACACATGGTTGGGCTTCTTGTGATCTTCAAAATCAGGAGGTTGCTCAACATATACTTCTTCATTAATATAGCCATTGAGAAATGCACTCTTGACATCCATTTGATAGAGCTTGATGTTGTGGGCACAAGCATAGGTTAACAAGATCATAATTGCTTTCAATCTAACAACCGGGGTATATGTTTCTCCAAAGTCAAGACCTTCAACTTGAGTATAACATTGTGCTATCAATCTTGCTTTGTTCCTTACTACTATCCCATCTTGATCTTGCTTATTTCTATAAAACCATTTTATTCCAATCACATTGTGGTTCTTTGGTCTTTCAACTAATTCTCATATTTGATTTCTTGTGAAGTTGTTCAATTCTTCATGCATAGCATTCAACCAATCAATATCCTTCAATGCTTCATCTATTTTTTTGGTTCAATAAATGACATAAATGAGAAATACTCACAAAATAAAGTCAATCTTGATCTTGTTTATACACCTCTAGAAATATCTCCAATTATGGTGTCCAATGGATGATGTCTTGCAATATTGGTTGGTTGGAGTATTAGAACATTGCTTGCACTTGCTTGATCATTAGGTTGTGATGATTTACTAGCCACTTGTTGATCTTGCACATTGTCATGAGAGCAACTTGTATTTGCTTGATTTGTATCATCTTGCATACTTGAGTTAGAGAGCACTTGCACTTGATCATCTTCTTCATCTACCAGTTGCCTAGGTATCAATTCACCAACATCCATGTTCTTCATGGCATTTGAAAATTGAATGCCTCTAACATCTTTTAAGTTCTTATTTTCATCTTGGGAACCCTTGGTTTCATCAAATTGAATATCATGAACCTCCTCAAGAGTACCACTTATCAAATTTCAAACTCTATATGATTTGCTAGTGGTTGAGTATCCAAGTAAGAATCGTTCATCACACTTCTTGTCAAACTTGCTTAATCTAGTGCCTTTCTTCAATATGTAGCATTTGCAACCAAATACCTAAAAATATGCAATGTTGGGCTTTCTATCATTCAAGAGCTCATAAGGTGTCTTCTCTTTCAATGGGTGATAATATAGGTGGTTGCTATAATAGCAAGCCGTGTTGATAGCTTCGGTCCAAAAGGATTGACTCACATTGTACTCACTAAGCATAGACCTTGCCATGTCATTGAGTGTTCTATTCTTCCTCTCAACAAGGTCATTTGATTATGGAGTGTACTTGGCCAAGAATTGATGTCTAAATTCAAATTCATCACATAACTCATCAATTCTAGTGTTCTTAAACTCACTACCATTGTCACTTCTAACTCTCTTGGTGGTAATTTCAAACTCATTGTGAATGCCCTTGATAAATGATTTGAAAGTTGCAAACACATCACTCTTGTCTACTAGAAAGAATACCCAAGTATATCTAGTATAGTCATCCACTATCATAAAGCCATATTTGTTTTCACCGATACTAGTGTATTGTGTTGGTCTAAATAAGTCCATGTGCAATAACTTAAATGCCTTTCTAGTGCTCATTAAGCTCTTCTTAGGATGGGTGTTTCCAACTTGTTTGCTGGCTTGACAAAAGCTACAAAGTTTATTCTTATCAAATACCACATCTTTCAAGCGTCTAACCAAGTCATGCTTAACCAATCTATTCAATTGTTTTATTCCAACATGACCAAGCCTTCTATGCCATAACCAACTGTTGGTATTTATTAACTTGTCACTTGTTTTTAGTAACCACCTATTATATGCCTAGATCTCTAAGCATTACTTGTATTAGGTTGTCATCCCTAATGATTATGCCAGAGATGCTTGTTGGTACTACTTGACATTACTACTAGAATAATACTAAGTAGTTCTTTATCATTTCATGTGACTAGGAAGAATATATAGATATGAATAAAAAGGAATCTGCAAGTGCACAGATAATATACTATTGTAGCACTACACCTGGGAGTGTTCCAGGTACGTTATTTATATTTTTACCACAGGGAAGGTCTAGCATGGACATGTATTGATAACTTATACTATTGATGGAGAAGTAAACCATAACCATTGTTCTACTCATAACAGGGGTAAGTCATAGGATAATGATAAGAATTGATCAATGATAATGATAAATGACTCAGAATACTCCTTTCCATGACATTAGTATGGTTAGGTAGAATATTAGAGGAATAATTCCTAAGTTATTCTTAATTACAAGTCAAAGTATACATTGATTAGTGTAATTATACCTAGTAGTCGTTGCTAAGACCATCGTCATATCTACACATAAGGGATATAACTAAGGAAGATTAAGAACAGAGCTTGTCTTCCTTCGTAATCGCATCCAACGTGCACCTATATTCGGGGAGTGCAGTATAAAGGACTCAATGAGAGTGTCACATCCGCGATCTACCACATGACCCAGAATATAGGATGTATCCGCAGGTAAACAATATATAAGCACCATGCTTATACAATGTCGACCACCCATCCATGGATCCTTAGAGTGAGCGTTATACGAACTTATGCATGAACATGATGATAATCCAACTA